ATGTCGTGGTGGGAGTCTGCTGTAGACCACCGGACCATGGGGATGAGGTGGACGAGGCTTTCTTCTGGCAACTCATGGAAGTTACTAGATCGCAGGCCCTGGTTCTCATGGTAGACTTCAATCACCCTGATATCTGCTGGGAGAGCAATACAGTGGTGCACAGAAAATCCAGGAAGTTTTTGGAAAGTGTAGGGGACAATTTTCTGGTGCAAGTGCTGGAGGAACCAGCTAGGGGCAGAGCTCTTCTTGACCTGCTGCTCACAAACAGAGAAGAATTAGTAGGGGAAGCAAAAGTGGATGGGAACCTGCGAGGCAGTGACCATGAGATGGTCGAGTTCAGGATCCTGACACAGGGAAGAAAGGAGAGAGCAGAATGCGGACCCTGGGCTTCAGAAAAGCAGACTTTGACTCCCTCAGGGAACTGATGGGCAGGATCCTCTGGGAGAGTAACATGAAGGGGAAAGGAGTCCAGGAGAGCTGGCTGTATTTTAAAGAATCCTTATTGAGGTTACAGGGACAAACCATCCCGATGTGCAGAAAGAATAGTAAATATGGCAGGCGACCAGCTTGACTTAACAGTGAAATCCTTGCTGATCTTAAACACAAAAAAGAAGCTTACAAGAAGTGGAAGATTGGACATATGACCAGGGAAGAGTATAAAAATATTGCTCGGCTATGCAGGAGTAAAATCAGGAAGGCCAAATCACACTTGGAGTTGCAGCTAGCAAGAGATGTTAAGAGTAACAAGAACGGTTTCTTCAGGTATTTTAGCAACAAGAAGAAAGTAAAGGAAAGTGTGGGCCCCTTACTGAATGAGGGAGACAACCTAGTGACAGAGGATGTGGAAAAAGCTAATGTACTGAATGCTTTTTTTGCCTCTGTCTTCACGAACAAGGTCAGCTCCCAGACTACTGCACTGGGCAGCACACCATGGGGAGGAGGTGACCAGCCCTCTGTGGAGAAAGAAGTGGTTCGGGACTATTTAGAAAAGCTGGACGCCCATGGGGCCGGATGCGTTGCATCCGAGAGTGCTAAAGGAGTTGGCGGATGTGATTGCAGAGCCATTGGCCATTATCTTTGAAAACTCCTGGCGATCAGGGGAAGTCCTGAACGACTGGAAAAAGGCTAATGTAGTGCCCATCTTTAAAAAAGGGAAGAAGGAAGATCCTGGGAACTACAGGTCAGTCAGACTCACATCAGTCCCTGGAAAAGTCATGGAGCAGGTCCTCAAGGAATCAATTCTGAAGCACTTAGAGGAGAGGAAAGTGATCAGGAACAGTCAGCATGGATTCACCAAGGGCAAGTCATGCCTGACTTATCTAATTGCCTTCTATGACGAGATAACTGGCTCTGTAGATGAGGGGAAAGCAGTGGACGTGTTGTTCCTTGACTTTAGCAAAGCTTTTGACACGGTCTCCCACAGTATTCTTGCCAGCAAGTTAAAGAAGTATGGGCTGGATGAATGGACTATAAGGTGGATAGAAAGTTGGCTAGATTGTTGGGCTCAACGGGTAGTGATCAATGTCTCCATGTCTAGTTGGCAGCTGGTATCAAGTGGAGTGCCCCAAGGGTTGGTCCTCGGGCCGGTTTTGTTCAATATCTTCATAAATGATCTGGAGGATGGTGTGGATTGCATCCTCAGCAAGTTTGCAGATGACACTAAACTGGGAGGAGAGGTAGATACGCTGGAGGTTAGGGATAGGATACAGAAGGACCTAGACAAATTAGAAGTATTGGGCCAAAAAAAATCTGATGAGGTTCAACAAGGACAAGTGCAGAGTCCTGCACTTAGGATGGAAGAATCCCATGCACCGCTACAGACTAGGGACCGAATAGCTAGGCAGCAGTTCTGCAGAAAAGGACCTAGGGGTTACAGTGGACGAGAAGCTGGGTATGAGTCAACAGTGTGCCGTTGTTGCCAAGAAGGCCAATGGCATTTTGAGATGTATAAGTAGGGGCATTGCCAGCAGATCGAGGGACGTGATCATTCCCCTCTATTCGACACTGGTGAGGCCTCATCTGGAGTACTGTGTCCAGTTTTGGGCCCCACACTACAAGAAGGATGTGGAGAAATTGGAGAGAGTCCAGCGAAGGGCAACAAAAATGATTAGGGGTCTGGAACACATGACTTATGAGGTGAGGTTGAGGGAACTGGGATTGTTTAGTCTGAGAAGAATGAGGGGGGATTTGATAGCTGCTTTCAACTACCTGAAAGGGGTTCCAAAGAGGATGGATCTAGACTGTTCTCAGTGGTAGCAGATGACAGAACAAGGAGTAATGGTCTCAAGTTGCAGTGGGGGAGGTTTAGGTTGGATATTAGAAAAAACTTTTTCACTATGAGGGTGGTGAAACACTGGAATGGGTTATCTAGGGAGGTGGTGGAGTCGCCTTCCTTAGAAGTTTTTAAGGTCAGGCTTGACAAAGCCCTGTCTGGGATGATTTAGTTGGGGATTGGTCCTGCTTTGAGCAGGGGGTTGGACTAGATGACCTCCTGAGGTCCCTTCCAACCCTGATATTCTATGATTCTATGAATATGGCTACAGACAAAGGCCTTATCCTTACACAGGCTTTGATAAGAGACCTCACATGGCATTCTTTGGGGAGCTCAAATGTACATATCAGACTCCGGAGATCCCTGCCCCTATGCACCCACTCTTTGCCTCTTGCCAGTTGGCACTAAGAGGTTTCTGGGTCACAAAGGCTAAATGAAAAAACAGTGCTGCAGCGTACTCAGACCTAGAGTGGGACACAAACAACAGACTGGTGAGAGTCCAACAATAGAAGATTTACCAAGAACTGTGTGTAAACACATAGTAAAGTTAAAATAATGAAGAAAAAGGTTGATGCAAGAGAGAAGGAGAAGAAAAGATACAAAAAGATGGCAGAAACAAAAGGTATCACACAGTAAGGAGAGTTTCTTACCTGGATGTGGGTTCCCTCTCATGCACAGTCCTCTGCCCATCTCATCAGAAGGCCTTTGTGAAATCCAGGATCATTTCTATTGTGATGCTGCAAATGGACAACCAGAGTGCAATACCTAACCCTGAGGCTGACCGCAAAGGATCTGCAGGACATCCAAGGCTTGTTGATGTTGTATGGGTTCTAAGGGGTTTGCCTATCTACAGACATGGAATGACTGCTTCTATTGAGAGGACAGTAGATCACAGTGACAAATATATCTGAAGTGGGGCATTAGTTGGGTTGCAGGTGGATGTGGTTCGAGAGAGGCTGGTGGGACTAGACTGAAACAAAATGTCTTTCAATGGGTGTTGCTGACTGTTGCCAGCTCTAAGTGCTACTATGTGTTAGTCCTCTGGCTGCATTAAGAGTTTTGATTTGTAGATAGTGTGGGTTTGGCTCACTCTTTTGGATACCCCTGATGTTACAATAGAATACCCATAATATTATACCTTTCTCCAGTGTTGGCCACTGTCTGCCATATTGATGTAGAAAATGTGAAAAGGATATATATAATATATATAAAGTAAAGATGACTACAAACTGTAACAAAAATATCTTATTCAGTAGGGCCTAACTCTTGCTTTCATTTAAGACAATAAGACTCCCACTAACTAATGTGAGCAATATTTAACCCATAAGCATGTACAGACTCCACTGTGCAAATTTAAATAATATAAACATATTTAGTATGGACTTCAGCCAGGACACAAAAAGCAGACAATGTGAGTGCTCCTCCTTTGATCATTTGGCTGGATAGTTTAGCTAGATGTTAAACTAAGGGCAGGTCTACGCTTAAAATGCTCCATCGGCACAACTACACTGATAAAGTACTTAAGTGAAGACAATCCTATGTCGATGGGAAAGCTTTCCTGTCTGTGTAGTTAATTTACCTTCCCAAGAGATGGTGGCTTTGTCGGCGGGAGAAGCTCTCCCGTTGACATAGCACTGTTTACACAGGGGTTAAGTTCAGTATAACTATATCGCTCAGAGGTATTGCCTTTTCACACCCCATAGCAACATAGCTATACTGCTATATGTCTGTAGCATAGACCTGGCCTAATTCAGTTTTCTCAGCAGAGTCTTCCATTCCTGAAATGGTTTCTTCTGGGACCAGTTATTTAGCATGCAACATCTGACAGCATAACAGTTACGAGCCTTACAAAATTCTACTTTTTCTCACTTGCCTATTAGTTTTTTCATCATTTGAAATGTGGGCAGATAGATTTGTCTCTGATTATTTTGCCAGGTTTAGTTATGTTAATCTCTGTGTAATATCAACATAATAGGGTTGGATGGAACTTTGTTTCCAGTTTTAAAGGAATTCAGCTTTTCAATCTGTTACTTATTTGAGGGCTTTGATTAATGTCCCCTATATAATGGCTACTTATCAACACTGTAGTCATTGTTGGGTAGCTTGCATCAAGGTTGTCAATTCTGACCTTTCACAATGTGCTGTGGTAAAAAAAGCCATTTATAATTAAAATTCATTAGACGGATTTTAGGCAACATGGTAGAGACAGAACATATCTCCCTATAGTTACTTGATGTCCTCCTGTGTACGCCTACTTGCACACAGCCATTCTCATGAAAATTCTGGAACAGCATGGGAAAGTAGCACAGTACTGGGGTCAGAGGTCAATTCATTTATATGAACCAGATTTTCCAGATGATCTCCATCTCCGCTTTTGTAATTTCTCCCAAAAGCATAAAAATGGGTATTCTAAAGTCCAAGAAGTTATATTGGTTAAACTAATATGCAATATAAGAAAACTCTCTTTAAAAAAATCATCTCATGGGTAACCTGGGGACAGCTGATTGCTGCTACTCTGCCACAGCATTTGTGAAATCAGGATGCAAACAGGTCTCAGAGCTCTGGGAAGAGGTAAACAGGACATCAGAGTATTTGGGGCCCAGGCCTGTCTCTATAATTCTGGGAATGTTTGCACTAGCCTCTAGCTACCACACAGAGACACCTCTCCCCACAGTAATGACCTGCTGTGGCTCACCTCTTCACTGGGTACAGTGCACTGGTCCATTGCATGCCGTACTATACCAACATGCTGGGGGTTGCCTGGTGTAATTACCCTGCTGCAGCTCCCTCGGCCAGGTGCTCAGGGATTGTTCAAGCCAGCGGCAGAAGAGCCTGTAAGGACAGGGGGAAACCCCTGGCCCGGGAAGCGAGGGCCGCTGCGGAGCTCCAGGGGCAGAACTTTCGGAGAAAGCAGGGCTGCCCACCCTCGCATGGCTGTTCTTACAGTCCAGGAGCAGCACCAGGACCAGAACGGCCCACGGGGTCAACTCTCCTCCGCTCCCGCGCGCCCCCAGCGCCAGCGCGTGGCCTCGCAGCCAGAGACCGCTCTGGCTGCTTCCAGTGCGCTCCTGGTCCTGAGGCGCGGCCCCGCCCAACGTTCTGTCCGCCGGCGCCTGTGTCTCACCTGGACCGTGCCACAGTGACGCTGCTGTCGCGCGCGACGGGATCGAACGCTCAGCGGAGCGCGCGCTCCCTGTGTGACGACCGCTGCGACAGTGACCTAACGAAGCCCCAACCGCCGCCGTAACTCTACCCGGGCCTTCCTGTGTTCCCCCGGAGCTTGTGCGAGGGCAGTCGGCGGCGGCCCAGACTCGCCCCGATGGCGGCGGAGGGCGAGGCGGACGTGGAGTGGGTGGTTGACAGCATCGCCGGCTTCCTGCGCGGGCCTGCCTGGTCCATCCCCATCCTGGAGTTCATGGAGCAGAAGTGCGCGGGTGAGAGGCAGGGGGCGGGGACCCTCCCGGGGCTGGAGCGGCAGAGCCTCCCTCCTTCCCCTCAAAAAGCGCTGTGGCAGGGCCTCACTGGGGAGAAGGGCGTTGCTAGGCCCGTTGAGAGACATTCGGGCCCCGGCTCATCGTGCGCGCTGCCCCCCTTTCTGTTTATTGAGAGAGAAGCTAAAGCGGTCTCGGGGACCCTGAGCTGAGGGTACCGTTGTGCCCCTCCCCTAGATCCTTCTCGTCGGCGCCGGCTTGCACCCTAGAAAGCGAGGGCAGGTGCATCTACGGCCCCCTGTTCCAGGCCTAGATTCCCCTTCTGGATTTAGCATGGAGAAGCTGGACTTTACAACCCATTACCTCTGCTGGAGCAGGGCTGGGGATGCTGCTTCCAAGCCTCTGTGAAGACATTGCCCTGTAAATAAAGCTTTTATAACTTCTCTGGAGCGCGGGACCTCTCGGCCCGCAGTAGCAGCGCCAGCTCCCCCAAGCGCAGTCACCACGGCTACTCGGGGCGTGGCCTCTCTGCCGCGGCTGGTTACAAGGCCGCCGGTTAGTGCCCTGGGATCTGGCCTGCAAATGTGCCGGACTCGTTCCGTGGGGGCGAGACCTGCCTGCGTGTCAGGCACCATCCTTCTCCCAAGGGCTTCTCAGAAAGCATTAAGCTGGTCCTTAGATCTGTGCTCTGCTAGTCTTACTTTCTAGTGACTCAGTGCTGTGCCTCCAACAGGGGATAGATTTCAGAGTAGCAGCTGTGTTAGTCTGTATTCACAAAAAGAAAAGGAGTACTTGTTGCACCCTAGAGACTAACAAATTTATTTGAGGATCTGATGAAGTGAGCTGTAGCTCATGAAAGCTTATGCTCAACACGGGATAGTATCAAATAAAGATGGAAATTTTAAGTGTCCCATGGAGACATACTTAGTGAAGTTCTTCATTGTAAAGCTTAGAACGGTCTTGACATTTATGAAAGGTCAATGGAGTTGCTTTAATAATTGATAATTAGCAGGACTTTTAATTGTGCATGTTAGAGTCAGGAGTTCATGAAAGTAGTTTGGCAGGAGTTAAGATTTTTGGGACTGTTACAGACACTAAAGAAAGGTTTTATTACTCTTTGCAGGTTTTACATTATTAACAAATGCATTAAAGCATTTTATATTTATTGTTTTGCTCTTGGAAAATGTAATTTCCAGTAATTGACAGATAATTTACTGATTCAGTACAAGGAATGAACAGGTCATTTACTGTCTAGTAAATGACTTCTAGAAATGCTAATTATTATTATTCAAAATTTTCTTTAATCTAAAGTTTATATAAATAAGTGATTGTGTGGTATAAAGATTTTAGTGGTATGGTATTGCTTTGAGGGTGAACACTTCTCACAAAGCAATCACTTTTCTGACCTGTCAGTCCTCATCCTTAAAGAAAATCTGCATAACAGTTTCAGAAGGTGAGCCTGGAAGCTTAAATTCATTCCTCTGCTAGACACTAAGGCTATGTCTACACTAGAGACCTTACAGCGGCACAGATGTACCGATGCAGCTGCACCGATATAAGATCTCTCTTGCAGCCGCTCTGTGCCAATGGGAGAGAGCTGTCCCATCAACATAATTAAACCACCCCCAATGAGAGGCAGTAGCTGTGCATACTACTACTTATGCCAGCGAAACTTACATTGCTTGCGGTGTGTTTTTTTTTCACACCACCTAGCGATATAAGTTTTGCCGACATAAGTGGTAGTGTAGACATGGCTTAAAAATCAAGGACTTTGAACAGAGATACTGGATTTGTGGTTTATTACAACAGTCTGTAACCTGCTAACCCCCTCTTTTTGTCCTATGACTTCAGAGGTGTTAATGGGCCACTCTGCCTTGAATGTATGTGCTAACTACATATGCTGAACAATCTGTTCCACCTTGCATGTTGCTGTGACAGAGGGAGTACCTTTCCCATACCTGAAGAAGAGCTCTGTGTGGTTTGAAAGCTTGTACCTCCGCCCTGAATTTCTCCATCAGTCCCCCAGTGGTCAACTAGTTACATGAAGTGTTGCCAATTTAGTATTTGGTTGGAAATTTGAATTGAAATTGAAACATTAATACACACTTTAAAAGCACATACAGTATATGATAAAATACTTGTACCTGAAAAAGCATAATAGGTTTGAAAATATGAACAAAGATTAGCTTCCTCACACAGCTGTTGTTTTTTATGACAATGGCAGTGTATTCTTTTTGGCAATGTTGGCTAACCTAATAATTTCAAATTGTGATTTGTAAGCAAATTGTGAGCTCTCCCCTGATAGCTAGTGATGAGCCAAGGGGTGGAGAGGGAAGGCTTCAGGACCAGACTGAACATAAGAACGGCCATACTGGTATGACAGGTTCGGTAACAGAGACCCCCTTGGGACGGTCACCTGACGTGCTGAGATTACCCCTGAGCCCATTTTCCCTGCCAGTTTGGGACTCCAGAACCCTGCTTTGTTGAGTCAGACATGCTAGCCTGCTGCAACACAGATCCAGTTCTGGTCCATGCCCCCAAAGCTACAGACTTTGACTAAAGACTGTTCAGCAGGTCACCTATCTCCAGCACCCAGACACCCAGTTTCCAATGGGATCTAAACCCCAAATAAATCCGTTTTACTCTGTATAAAGCTTATACAGGGTAAACTCATAAATTGTCCACCCTGTATAACACTGATAGAGAGAGATGCACAGGTGTTTGCTCCCCCAGGTATTAATCACTTACTCAGGGTTTACTAATAAACAAAAGTGATTTTATTAAATATAAAAAGTAGGATTTAAGTGGTTTCAAGTAATAACAGACAGAACAAAGTCAGTTACCAAGCAAAATAAAGCAAAAACATGCAAGTCTAAGCCTAATGCATTAAGAAACTGATTACAGGTAAAATCTTACCCTCAGAGATGTTCCAATAAGTTTCTTTCACAGACTAGACGCCTTCCTGGTCAGGGCCCAATCTTTTCCCCAGTACAGTCCTTGTTAGTTCCAGCAGACATCTTAGGTGGAAAACAGGTGTGTTCTCATGACTGGCAGCCTCTTTGTTCTGTTCCACCCCCTTTTATAGCTTTGGCACAAGGCGGGAATCTTTTGTCTCTCTGGGTCCCTACCCCTCCTTCTAAATGGAAAAGTACCAGATTTAAGATGGATTCCAGTATCAGGTGACATGGTCCCATGTCACTGTAACACCTCATTTTTCATTTCCCACGGGCTGGCCTGCCCGCACCCAGGAAGGTTTGCAAGTAAATAGACCATTTACAACCAATTGTCCTAGTCAATGGGAGCCATCAAGCTTCTAAACCACCATTAATGGCCCACACTTTGCATAATTACAATAGGACCTCAGAGTTATACTTCATATTTCTGCTTTCAGATACAAGAATGATACATGCATACAAATAGGAGGAATATATTCAGTAGATTATAAGCTTTGTAATGATACCTTACAAGAGACCTTTTGCATAAGCATATTCCAGTTACATTATATTCACACTCATAAGCATATTTCCGTAAAACATTATGGAGTGCAGCGTCACAACTGGGTCAGACCAAAGGTACATCTAGCCCAGTATCCTGTCTTCCGACAGTGGCCAATGCCAGGTGCCCCAGAGGGAATGAACAGAACAGGCAGTCATCAAGTGATCCATCCCCTGTCTCCCATTCCCAGCTTCTGGCAAACAGAGGCTAGGGACACCATCCCTGCCCATCCTGGCTAATAGCCATGGATGGACCTATCCTCCATAAATTTATCTAGGTCGTTTTTGAACCCTGTTATAATCTTGGCCTTCACAATATCCTCTGTTAAGGAGTTCCACAGGTTGACTGTGCACTGTGTGAAGAAATATTTCCTTTTGTTTGTTTTAAACCTGCTGCCTATTCATTTCATTTGGTGACCCCTAGTTCTTATGTTATGAGAAGGGGTAAATACCACTTCCTTGTTTACTTTCTCCACACCAGTCATGATGCTATAGACCTCTATCATATCCTCCCTTAGTTGTCTCTTGTCCAAGCTAAAAAGTCCCAGTCTTATTAATCTCTCCTCATACAGAAGACATTCCATACCCCTAGTCATTTTTGTTGCCCTTTTCTGTACCATTTCCAATTCCAATATATCATTTTTGAGATGGGGTGACCAAATCTGCGTGCAGTATTCAAGATGTGGGCATACCATGGATTGATATAGAGGCGGTATGATATTTTCTGTCTTATTATCTATCCCTTTGTTAATGATTCCCAACATTCTGTTTGCTTTTTTGACTGCCGCTGCACATTGAGTGCATATTTTCAGAGAACTATCCTCAATGACGCCAAGGTTTCTTTGTAGAGTGGTAACAGCTAATTTAGACCACATCATTTTATACATATAGTTGGGATTATGTTTTCCAGTGTGCATTTGTGTATTTACATACAAACACCTACTGTGCCTAGATATCTATCAGACAGAGCTGTGTTGCTCAAGTGATCCCAGTAGAGAGAAAGATGGAGCATGGGGGATGTGCTTTGCTTGGTGGTGTGGGCTCTGCCTAAGAGTCACAGGCATTATTTCTTTTGCCCCCTCCCCAATTGAAAGATAGAGCTGATTAGGCTCCATAGTCTTTTGTTTTTTTAAGTGTTCAGTAGAGCTGAAATCACTGATGATCAGGTCTAAGTGCTTAGACCTGCTGCAGGACAGTGTTTCTGTGGAAGAGGCTGCCCAGCCTGCACTAGCAGTGAGGTTCTCCCACTGAGAGCTGAAATCACTGAGAGCTGGGTTCAACCTCAAGAGACCAACTCACAAAGGTCACAGTGGCAGGTGGCAGCAGAAGATGATGGCTCAGAGCCATCAATGATGGAGTGGTGGCACGACAAACAGTGGTGGGCAGAGCAAGTGGCTGGTGTGAGTGGCGAGCAGCTGGAGGAATTGGCAAGGTGCCTTCTCCCTCGTATCCCCCAGCGTGGGAGATGAATTCATATGAAAGCACCTCTGAACTTAGGGTCTCCAATGA